AATAAGAATATTGAATTTTTTAGCATATCAATAATATAGCTAAGCTATCATAATTTATCAACAATAACTAAATATTTTTAAATGTAAAGTTTAATATTAATGATTTTTTTTAAATGTTGCTATTCAGCCACCTTAAAAAAATAATAAAATTAATTACCACAAAATCTTTTTATCAAAAATTAACAAATAAATGTACCTCAATATAAGATAATAAACCAGAGAAAGATACGTCCATGCCCTTCACAACGTATGGCAGAGGCAAATAGTTTTTCCCACTAAAAATAAACAATTCAGTAAATAATTAAAAAATATTAAATAAATTTGAATTCGCTTTAAATTAAAAGTGGTTTAAGACAGGTCAGTAAGCTTATAATCTGAAGAATTCTAAGAAGACATCTCCAACAAAAATTATTTTCCTTTTGTTTAGCATTGGCGACAATCAGCGTACATACAAAACATAAAAATGCATGAAATAATACTTACAAACAGAATGTCTAAACATAGAAATTGAAAACTTAAAGAACCAAGAATCTTCGAACTACTTTTTAGTTTTATCCAGCAAATAAATTGGTTTGTGATGATTTTAAATCCATCTTACTGTAATTGAACTCAATAAGAATTTTTTTAAATCTAAACGTTTTTGAATCTATGCTTGATTGATCTATTGAAAAGACACATAGCTTCAAATTTATTCAGCTAAGTTCCAAAGATAGTTAAAAAGTGAATGAGTTTAGTGTATAATTTGTATCAGTTTTATAGTTCATGAATGTTCACCAAAGTAATTTCTTGTAAGATGTTTGTATAAGCTTGAGTGCACATGATCATAAAACATACTTCTTAAACTGTTATACACAATTTTGCAAAAAGTATTGAGACTGGTCTGGTACAGAGTAAGGGAGTCCTGAGCAGTGGTTGGAAGTAGCGCACTACTGTTGTTGATACTTTTTTTGTAGTTTGTAGAGTAGTGAGCTACTTTTTTTTAAAGTAGTGTAGTGAGTAGTGCGATACCAAAAAAACAGTAGTTTATAACCAACTACTTTTAACGTTAGTTTAGAAAAGAAGAACGGTTCTAATACAACTAATTTGATGGGGTACAAATAGGCCCTATGTACCTATGGATGCAATGAAAATGACCCTGTAGTTGAGCATTAACAGAAATTAAGTACTTAAAATCACGTATAACTAATATTTAAACTAGCTATTACCAAAAATAGACAATCACTTAGGTCATATTTTCATATGCGAATGCACATTCCTGAAACATTGATCTTACTTAAAAGGAAGGAAACATACTTTAATGCACTTAATTTCTTAAAGGAAGTAAAAGAGTATTAAACAATTAAAAATTCTAAGTATTTGATATTTTGCATTTAATAAAGGAAATATTTTAAGGGCCGGGATAGCCTGGTTGGTAGGGCGCTGGGCCTATGTCCGAGAGTTTGAGGGTTTGAACCCCACCGGCCAAAGACTCCCCGTGTAGTTGGTGACTGATGCACGTTAAGATCCCGTCGAGTCACAAAGTCCTCCATGTTCCTATAACAAATCAATACCTCTGGGGGTAATGGATTGGAGATCGATCGTTCTCTGAGGCACGTCAAAATTACGATCTGTGGATGAATGAATGGGTCCGCCTTATAAACAGGTGTGTATGATGTGGCACAAATCGAATTCTTGGTCATAGATGGCGCCATAGAAAAAACAAGAATCTCACACTCTGCCTTAAGTTTGCTTGGTTTCACCAAGCAGGCTTGCCCGTGTGGCAAGTGGCATTAGAACCAACCAATATTTACTGTCAAAAAAGGCATAAAAAATTGAAGGTTAAATAAACAAATTCTAAAGAAATGTTTTGGAATAATAAACTGGCACATGTAACAAACTGCGAAGTAGTTACCACAATTCCAAAGTAGTTCGTAGTCACTACATTTAAAAAGAAAGGTAGTTGTAGATGTATATAACTACATTTGTAACGAAGTAGTTGCAGTAAACTACAAAAATAATGTAGTTTTTCCAACCACTGGTCCTGAGGTGTGTAATATTAATGTGATGTTGGTGCCACTTTTGCAGACCTGCACACATCTAGTAAAAGTCTGAAGTTTGAGTTAAACATTACAACTACCATGTCAAGAAAGATAAAAATTAATTTCAATATAAAAACTATCAATAGAGAAGAAATTTACCAATAGACAAAATTTTCAGTTACGCTTTAAAGAAAAATGGTTTAATAAAATTCAATTACAAAACTAAAGTACATGATGCTGTAACAGACTTATGTCAATAAGGCTTTCAAGTCACAGAATAGTTAGGAATTAAGCAGCTTGAATAAAATTCCAAACATGAAATTTCATGGTTGCATTTTTAAAAATTATTGTTTGCTATTTCGAAATTCAGAGAAAATTTAAAAATAAACTAGAATACTAATTACGTTTCAGAAATGGTTAAAAAATAACTCCTATAGATAAGAATAATAAAAGAATAGATGATGATATCAATAATGATGATCAATGCGGCTTTGATTTTAAAATGAACAATAAGTTTAAGAAAAATTTAGAAAAAGTATGGAAAAAACATTTACTTTTTAGCTAATTGCTCAATGTTATAACCAGGACTAGGATCATTAGATAGCTGAAATAAAAATCAAATCAGTTAGTTATAAAAAAAAAATCAATTCAACTTGCATAAAATAAATTTAGTGTTACCTTCAAGGCTCTGGCAAATCTATCCAGGCAGTTACCGACAGCTATGTCTATTGTTTCACCAAATATCCTATACCGTCTTTCATTATAAGCTATTATCTAAACAAAATTTAATTGCAAACTTAATTCCAGTTTTATTGATACAAAAATTTCCTATTTTAAAACTAATTTTCAATTCTCTGCTGAGCACAATTTTATTTTAAGCTAATATTTGAGACATTCAAAGCAAATTCAGTCCATGCAAAAAAGTTTTTTAAATAAATAAATTTTATCAGTTTTTTAAATCTGTAAAAAAAAGAACAAAAATAAATAAATAAATAACAGGGATGAGAATGGTCATAAAGCAAAAAGGATGAAAATTCAAAATTTGTCAAAA